CGCCGATAGCGGCTGCTGAGTGAAGTTCTTTGATATCTACCCAGCACGTTCATTAGGGTTATCAATCGTTAGTCCTACTTGTAATGATTAACTGGCTCATAATACCCTCCAATCGGAGGCTCGTGGGATTTCGCACCACACGGGACGTCGAGATGATTTCGCCCGCCCTCGCGAACGGCACCTGGAGACTGTAGCCTCTCGCGCGACCTTTTAGGGTGAACTGGGACATCTCCTTCAAACACGCCGCCGCACCGCATAGCTTTAAAAATACTGCGTTTATTGGGCTCTTAAATAGAAACGTCACTACAAAAATATACAGACTAGGAAAAAACAGAATGCCCTTCGGTGGGATCACGACGTACCTCCTGCCTCGTGTCGCGGGATCCGAACTCCTTGGCCACCCAAAGACTTCTTAAGAAGTAACCAAAGGAGTTGCTTCAAGGGAGAGCCCAGGCCCCCGGCCGGCATCTTTTTAAGGAGCGATGGAGACACTCAGCTCTTCCCCCCAGGCCTCTCATGGGGCTGGAAGGAGTTTTTGAGATGAAGTGCGCATGGCTCCCCATCCTTTTCAGGCAACCGGCACAGTGTTTTCCAAAGCGGCATTGGACTTTCAGCTGTGACTGCCCCTGCCCATCCTGCAACTCCACTGCTTTCAAGCCCTGCGAGAAGGGGAGGCGTTCGATCCTTGCACCGATCCTTTTCTAACCCATGAAATTAAAGGGATCCTTTCTATTAAGTGAAATGGATGGCAAGAAGCACGTGCATGTGCACGCACCGTGAATAAGCTCATCCAAATGTAGTCTCTGGTTCTGCCTAAAGTGCTTCAAGCCCAATGGAAACCCATCTCCTGCTGGTTACTAATTATAGCTAGAGCTATTTTAAAAAAAATAAAATAATACAAATAGCTTTAAACAAAATGTGTTACTGATAACTGTGCCAGGGCCTTGAGAAAAAAAATCCTGCAATAGAAACACCTAATCAGCAGTGAGGTTGTTCCCCCCTCCCCTCCCTTCCTCCGCTGCAGATTATATAGGGTTAGAAAGAGATCCCAAAGTGGGGAGGAACATACCGGCCCTGAGCTACCATCAGCAATGTCTGCGTATACTGAAGTGGGGGAGCTGCTGCGAGTTTGGAAGGACCTGAAAGACTCCAGCAAGTTTCCCATATGGGGCCATCCCCTGAATCCTAGTAGCAAGGGCCTGAATCCACCCCACTGGGAAGATTCCCCTTGCTGGGCTGTGAAGCTCCCAGACAGGATGGGCTTTTGGAGAAGGCCCAGTTCAATGGAGGGATCAGGAAGATTCCCAGCCATAAGGCACCACCACCCCATCAAGCTTGTAAGTGCAGAGAACAGGTGGTAACACAGGGCCGAGTCTGATCCTGGCCATGGGGGACAGAGCAGATGTCCCGGATCCACACCAGCCCATGCAACAGCCTGATGGGCAGCTGATGCAACGGGGCCTAGAGCTCAAGGAAGAAAGTCTGCAAGAGATGGTCTCACAATCCCAGATCCGGCTGCTGTCCCTCTGCAAGAAAGCAGCAGCCGCAACCTGGACTTGGGGGAGTGCATGTACACGCCACATTTTTTGCCTTTCCATGTGGTGCAACTGTGTGTCTGTTTGCACGAGCAGGATTTCCGGACGCTTTTTTGTGCATTACAGTAAAACTCAGGGACTTCAAAAGTGCTTCTGGAGGTAGCAGGATTACAGCAAAGACCACGCCCCCTCTCCCCAACCTACTCCCTTGTACAACACAGCAGCTTACAATGCATCCGAGCCTCTAGGGCAGGGGAGACAGGGGTCTTCCAGTCCTCCCACCCCAAAGATTCCTCACTAGTGCCTGCTTTGAGGGGTCCAACTGGGAAAACCCAGCAGAAACAGCCTGGCTTGGTGGGTGGAAGGTGCTGCAGACCCACCCACGATCCGCAGGGAAGGGACAGCTAATTAGCAGCAGGGCAGGGCTCCTCCACAGTCCCCAGAGCCAGGACGACCGTGGATCTGGGACCGAGGGGAGAGCTCCATCTCTAGGGCTCGTTCTGGAGATGCGGGTCTCCTCTGCCATGTCGCTGGGAGATGCCCAGTCACCAGGACAACTGGGCAACATATCTGCGACCCCTCAGTAGATGCCAAGGGCTGGGCAAAGTTCCAGGCCTGGGACCGAAAATCCAGCAGTATCCGGGTGCCTGTCTCCAAGATGAGCTGCACACAGCAGCCTGTGGGCACTGGCCTCTTTGCCAACACGCAGGTGGACAGGTCTGAACGCCGGGGAAGTCAGTCATGTGAGTCCAGCCGCTGCCTGACATCCTCTCCCAGCAGTGGTCACCATCAGCGGGACGGGGAAAGGGGGCTTCCTGCCTCCTCCGACTCCGCAGGGCTGGGGGGAGCCGTGGCCCTCCAGTGCCCATCGTTCAGACACTCTTGAAGCAACTCCAGCTCCTCGGTGAGGTCGGTGAACATTGCGGGGAAGAGGCCACGCTGAGCAGGGGGGAAAAGAAGCAGAGGCATGAGGTCAGGGCAGGCAGCTGGGGTGCTGGCTGGCTTAGTGCCATCAGCTAGTGCATGGAGAAGCTGGAACAGCCAGAGCCCAGACCCATCTCGCTGGGCACCTGACAAGGGCCAGCTCGATTTATCCCTCATTGGGCTACACCCAGGGGCTGATGAAAAGCATTGCTGTAGCACACTCGGTGCTGTACATAGCCCCCGTTCTGAAGATGCTGCAGGGGAACGTGGGGAGTCCCACTGGATACTAAGGCTTCCAGCTTCCTTCTCCACCATTCCCCTCTCCACCCTAGATCCAGCCCCTTGGCCCACACCACCCTGTTGCAATGAGGGCAAATGGTTTGAATCAACACAGAGGGGCAAAGGGACTTGACTGAGGTTACAGGAGGTGGCAGTGGCAGAGCACCGCCCCCACCGAGCTGCCCCGAGCCCAGCCTGGCCCTCACCTGCCGCTCGGGGCTCCCACGGGGGTAGCATCGTCTCCAGAGCTGGATCGCCGGCCCCGTGCAGGCAGGCACCAGGACCCCCCCAGGCAAGGCAGGGCAGCTGCTGGGCCAGCCCCGCTGGTCGCTGAGGCTGTCCGAGGATGGCACCCGCCACGGGCCCTTCTTGACGAGCGAGCCGTTCTTCCAGGGGAAGAGGTGGGGTTGCGGGGCCAAGCCCCCCCGGGCCAGGAGGAACACAGCCCCAGTCTCAGACAAGGTGGCTTTCAGCTGGAGAGAGGCAGGAGGTGGGCTGGGGGACAGGACATAGCAGGGAGCAAAGACACAGCAGGGCTAGAGGGGACTCGAGGCTGGACTCCTGGGTTCCTTCCCCATCCCAACCAGGATGAAGCCCAAGTTGTCCAGCTCCTCGTCCCTTGTGCTGTGACCATTAGCCTGCCTGCCTGCCCACACAGCCCCCACCCAGAGCTGCCTGTAGTGCCCGGACCCACCCCACACAGAGGCAACTGCACTCACCTTGCTGCAGCCCGGCAGGGCCGTGTGCCCATCACTGGCCCTAGTGTAGATGGGGTTCTGGAACTGCGCCCGCTGCTGGGCACTGTAGTGCAGCGCCCAGGCCCAGACAGGGGGCAGGCAGGCACCCCCTCCCACTGGGGCCTGCGGCAGGATCTCCAGGTTGGCGGCGTCCCGCCAGCCATTGACAGGTGTGTACAGCTGGCTGGAGGCCCGATGCTGGGGGTGCAGACAGAGGGGGTGAGGAGGGGAGGAGAGCACACACAGCCCTTCCCATCACCCCACAGAGCCCAGAGCTGCTCCCCACTGCCAACACTTTAAAGGAAACATCATGTTACCTAGCTCTCCCAGCAGCAGGGGGCAAAACCCCTGTGGGACAAACGGGGAAACTGAGGCACGAAGCAGTCAGGGGTAGAAGAACCCAGGAGCCCCAGTCCCCTGCTCCAACCTTACTTTTCTCCCAGGAAGCCCAGGTGTCCTCACTCCCATCCCTGGCTTGAACCAGTGGACCCCAGTCCCCGCCTGCAGCTGAGCAGAGAACGCAGGAGTCCCCGTCCCCATCCCCTGACCTGGGGGCCCCACTCACCTCCCACAGCCGAGGACAGAACCAAGGAGTCCCGACTCCAACCCCTAGACCGGACCCCTCCCAAGGCAGAGCAGAGCCAGCTCCCAGGCCCATCCTGAACCCCAGGACTCACCTGGCCCCCACGGCTCCACTCCCACTGGCAGCTGAAGAGGAAGGTGCTGAAGAAAGGCACGTAGCTGCTGTCGTGCAGGGCCAGGAGATAGGCCTCGGTGAAGGCAAAGGCAGCTGGGAACTGCCGCAGCAGCTGCCAGGTGCAGTCCAGGAAGAGCTGAAACACTGGAGCCTGCAGAGAGGGGTTAAGCCCCAATGAGCTGACAGCGAAATACAACCGCTTCTGGGGTGGAACACGGCAACGTACAGACAGCCCCAATGGAGGGAGGGCGGGGTGGGGGATCAGCTGCCATGGCAATGCGGCTGCCTCTGGGGTAGAACACAGCAGCTGGGGACCAGGACAAGTCATGTGGGGCTGGGATGGGGTCCAAGCCCCAAATCCCAGGGGTCTTCTGGGTCCCTGCCTCACCAGCCAGCTCCACCCCCAGCTCCAAGCCCAGGGCACCTGGGAGCCAGTGGGAACAGGCTCCATGATGCCCCCCGCTGGTTGCCCCTGGGCTCACCTCGCCTCGGTCGCCATCCCGGCAGAGGTTGAGGCGCTGGGCGAAGGGATGTCCGGCCGCCACCCACTCCCGCTGCACCAGGTTCTGGAAGCCCAGCTGGGTGCGAGCGTGGGGGTCGGCCAGCAGCTGCACCAGCGAGGCCACCAGGCAGTTGAGGTCTCGGTCGTCCGACTCTGTGGGGGCAGCACGGGGTGAGTGGGGGACTGGGCAGCGCGGCCTGGGGACCCCGGCGAGCGGTGGGGGAGTCTCTACCTTGTAGCACAACAGAGCAGCGCCTCTCTGCCAGCAGCGCAGCCACATCGCTAGCCTTCCTCACGCAGGCCCTGCAAGGGGATGGGGTGGCTAGCAGAGCTGGGGGCACCGGGGGGGAGGGGAGGGGGAGGGGAACTGGGGTCATGGCAGCATGTGAGCCTAGCCTGGGCGCTAGGAGAGGACATCTTGGGAGCAGGGAGGGACAGCTCTCACCTGACGTGGTCCAACCAGTGGGTCCCCTCCAGCCCAGACAGCCATATGGGGTGGCTAGCAGAGCTGGGGGCACCGGGGGGGAGGGGAGGGGGAGGGGAACTGGGGTCATGGCAGCATGTGAGCCTAGCCTGGGCGCTAGGAGAGGACATCTTGGGAGCAGGGAGGGACAGCTCTCACCTGACGTGGTCCAACCAGTGGGTCCCCTCCAGCCCAGACAGCCATTTCTCATCAGCCACGGCGGGGGCTGGAAGGCAGCCAGGCAGGGGGACAGAGATGGACTCCTCCAGCAGCCACCCCAGCCATGAGTGGGAATGACCCTCCCCACTCCACAGGTGGCAGCAGCAGAGTAAGAGAACATGACCAAGTCCCCCAAGGGGGTCTGTGGCGGGGAAGAAGCGAAGCGACACCCGGTCTCCCGAGTCCCATCCACCCTTTGCTGCCCCAGAGATGAATGAGACCTGCTCGAACAGGGAAACTGAGGCAGGGAGCCAGCTCCTGGCTCAGCCAACATCGGTGGAAGAAGAGCCCGACTCTCTTAGCTCCCAGGAGAGACACAGGGCAGGGGAAGCTTCTCACCGGGCGAGCAGAGGGTGCGGAGCCGCACATGGGCCAACTGGATCTCGGTGGGGCTGGGCAAGTCGGTCACTGTGTCCACAACCACGCACTGCGCATGCCCAGCCAGCAGCAGTGCCTCCACTGCCCTGCAGAGACACATGGGCATAAGACGGGCGCTGCTGGCCCCCCTAAGCCAGGCTAGGGCCTCAGCACAGCAACCCACCCCCCATCACAGCGCCACATCCCCATGCCTGTGGCTTCTACCTTGTGTCCTCCTTCTCAGGGTCCGAGGCAGCGTGGAAGCTCGCAGCACGCAGCAGGTCACTGCCCCCAGGGTGCCGCCAGCAGAGCCTCTGCAGGGCAGGGCAGACACAGGGGGGCAAAATCCATGTCAGGCTGCTTCCCCCACCCCTGCACCCCCATCCCCTTCCTCCAGCTCGAAGCCAGAGCTCTTCCCTCCCCCCTGCTGGTTCAGGCTGGGGAGGGTCACCCTGGATGATGGGAGGGGGTCACTCACTGGGATGCGTCGCTGGTTGAAGTGGGCAAAGGCTCGTTTGAGTTCGTTGTCCAGCAGCTGGCCAGGCACCCAGAGGTACCGGGGGAGGCTATGGGCATGACGTGGGGAAGACAGCTCAGACCCTCCCCACAACCCCCCTGCAACCCTCTATCCCAGGATTCGGCCTTTGGGATCCTCCTTCCCTCCCAAGAGTTTGATCCCAGCCTGGTCCCACCCCAACCTGGCTTTCTGGGCACTTTAAGCCCATCACAGCACAAAACCCCCGAGCATCCAGGGCGGAAGCAGAAGCAAAAGCAAAAGCAAAAGCTTTCCATTGCCCCCACAAGTCTCAGTCCCCGGGGTCTGGGAACAGGGGCTGTGGAGAACAGGAAACCCAAGCATCTGGTCTCTCCAGTACCCTGGATCCCTTGGGGATTTGGGGAGGTCTCCTGCATTTTCTAGTGGAGACGGGGTGAGGGGGGCGAGAAAGATCCTGCCCGCCCCACACCCCTGCTCACCTGGTGGCCATGTCAAAGCGCTCATTGGCCACACTGACCCGCCAGCCTGCGGGCCCCAGGCGCCGCAGCTCCTGCTCCCAGTCCTGGAGGCTCTTGAAGAGCAGCGTGGGCGCCGGATCTTCCTCCCCCTCCTCCTCGGGGCTCCGCTGGGCGTTCTCTGCAAGCCGGAGCCCAGTCAGCACAGTGCCCATGGGGCCCCTGCCCTCCCGGCCAGGCACAGGATCACTTACCCAGGTTCCTCAGCTGGGTGGGGTCAGACCAGGCTGCCACATCCCTGTCACTCTCCTGGGCCCGAGCGATGGCCATCGTCACCTGGGAGGCGGCAGCCATGAGCAGGGCTGGGCAGGGCTACCAGGAGCATCTTCCCCCCCTGGGGAGCACCCCATGCCCCCCGGCTCCCAGTTTGAGCACTGCTGAGGGGAGTTGGGGGTCCTGGCACAGCCCAAATCCCCCAGTCCTTTGTGATTCGGGCACTGGGATGATTTCATAGACATTCAGGCTAGAAGGGACCCCAAAGGATCATCGAGTCCAGCCCCCTGCCCCAGGGGCAGGAAGTCAGCAGGGATCCCAGGATCCCAGCAAGATAAACATCCAAATGTGTCCTGAAAGCATTCAAAGTGGGTGCTTGAACCACCTCCGGCAGCTGGCTATTCCAAATCTTGGGGGCTCGGACAGTAAAGAAGTTCTTCCTTACGTCCAGCCTGAAACGGTCATGGAGGACTTCATGACCGTTCAATCTTGTCATCCCTTGGGGCGCTCTTGTGAACAGACGTTCCCCCAGATCCTGGTGAGCACCCCTGATAAACTTGTAGGTGGCCACCAGATCACCCCTGAGCCTGCGCTTTTCCAGCCTGAAAAGTCCCGTAGCTCTCAGCCTGTCATCATAAGGTCTGTTCTCCTGACCTCTGATCATGTGTGTGGCTCTTCTCTGGACTCTCTCAAGCTTCTCCACATCCTTCTTGAATTGTGGAGCCCAAAACTGGACGCAGTACTCTAGCTGCGGCCACCCAAGGCCGAGTACAGGGGGAGAATGACGTCCTGGGATTTGCTTGAGAAGCATCTATGGATGCAAGCCAGCGTTTTGCTTGCTTTACTAGCCACAGCATCGCATTGAAGGCTCATGTTCATCTTGTGGTCAATCAAGACCCCCAAGTCCCTTTCGTCCGTAGTTTCATAGTTGGTAGGGTCAGAAGGGACCTGAGCAGATCATCAAGTCCGACCCCCTGCCATGGCAGGAAAAAGTACTGGGGTCAAATGACCCCAGCAAGATGTTCATCTAGCTTCCTCTTAAATAGCCCCAGAGTAGGAGCCAGCACCACTTCTCTTGGAAGTTGATTCCAAGTCCTAGCCACCCTGACAGTGAAGTAGCACCTCCTGATGTCTAGTCTAAATCTACCCTCTGCCAGCTTGTGACCATTATTCCTTGTCACTCCTGGGATTGCTCGGGGGAACAGGGACTCCCCCAATGCCTGCTGGTCCCCCCTGACTAGTTTGTAACAGGCCACTAGATCCCCGCACAGCCTTCTCTTGTGGAGGCTGAACAGGTTCAGGTCCCTTGGCCTCTCCTCCTAGGGTCTGCCCTGCTGCCCCCTGACCAGCATAGCACTGCCGAGTAGGGCTGTGCGAGGCTTCAGGCAGAGCTTCGGATCCGGGGAAGCTTCGGGCGGGAAGCGGCACGTCGGGTCGAGGCACTGCCACATTCGGCTTCCCGGAGCGCTTCCGAGCCGCCTCCGAGATCCGGCCATAGGGTATAATGGAGGATCAATGAAATATCTATAACTTTGTTGGTTTTTGTCTGATTTGGATGAACTTTTCAGGGGTGGTAGACTCTGCAGAGAGGCCCTGCCAAGTTTCAAAAAGATCAGTGCAGGGGTTTGGGGGGAATGGCACCCCAAATTCTTGAAAGCAAAACTCCTGTCACATCTAGGCGTTACAACACAGGGGGATCAAAACTGCAGGGGTGGTAGCTCTTACTGAGGCCACAAAGCCTGCCATGTTTCAAGGAGATCGGTGCAGGGGTTTGGGGGGAAGTGCCCCTCAAGTTGCAGACAAGCACAACCGGTGCCACGGGCGCTGTGGGACTGACCGTGTCTGTCCTGGGGCGGGAGTGGGGGGAGACACTGCTGCAGGCCTGGCTGCTCAGCTGCTGTG